CAAAGAAAAATTTAATTTGGCCCTAGCATCAGCACTGAATTACGAGTCTGTAATGTTGTTCCTGATGAAGTGTTTTTACGTCAATAATCTATTAAGAAATTCACTAAGTTGTCTATCCATAAACTTTTTTAATTACACACCATTATTTGAATATAGAAATTCGACCTCTATGAAAACCATCTACCTCTCTGTCTGTCTACTTATCCATTGTTTTCTGAATTTAGATTAAAAACGGTTTTATGCGTTTCGCACAGTTTATTTTCTGTAACTTTTTCTATAGCAAATTTTCATGCTTTAGCAATAGAACTGTAAATGAAACAGACTCTTCAAAGACTCCAATATTTTGTGTCTAACTTTTTTTTACACTAGGGTATGTCAATTTCACCAGAAAGATTAAATAGATAACTATACTGCGAAGCTTAACTTCGCAAACACTTATTAGTTTTTTGTTGTTTTTTTTTACATTAAATAACGAGTAGTTCTTTCATAAGCCAATAATTTTGTTTTCCTATTTCCAGTTGAAAATTAAGCTTCATTTATATATCCTCGCCTTACCATGGAGCTTTTAACATATAACTGACTATTTCTTTCGTTTATAAACGACCAGCAGATCTTACTTTTCAATATGTCACAAATGAAAATGGTGTAATGAAAACATTCTTAATTTCTCAGTCCTCTGATATAAAATCAATACTTATGACAAGAATAGCACCGTTTAGAATCATGTACTAATTTTAAGGTGATAGATGAAACTTTTCATTTTTTGATTTTGTTTTATAAGAGCATATTTTGATGAAAGGTTTGCAATCATTTAATATAAGGAATTAAATGTTACACATTTGTAATTCAGTGTCTTGTACTTGTGTACTTCGTGACCTATATTATCTACAAATTGTTATAGTTACAAACCTAATTAAAAAAAAAGTTAAACTTAAGAAGAATACCACAAAAACGTAGAGAAACCACAATATAGTAATAAGTAAAATATGTAGCTTTATTATTTCTTTAAAAATGTGAGAAGTCAAAATATGTGTTTTCACGAATTTAAAATGATTATAAGCTTCCGCGTTTTTGTGTGTGCACTATTTAATTGTTTTAAGAGCGGAAGGACAGTCCAATGCAACTGAAATAAGGTTTCACCTTAAAAATGGATAATATAACTTGTTTTGTTTTTTTCAAAACGATCTGTACTATCTATTACATACACTACTGGTAGTAGCTTAGTTCAATTTGAACTGAATTATGCATAATTTCTTGACAATCCTTAATTAAAACGAAATGATGTGTAACATCTTATCAACTTTTCTTCGTTGTTGTTATTGAAATAGTTCCTGCCCTTCTAATCAGTTAGCTATATAAAATTGCTTTCACTAATATATTGTATTTTGAGGTATGAAAATAATAATGTAGTATAATGTTTTTATTTTATTTTAAAAACTGGAGGTTTATCTTTGATGAATTAATTTAACATGGAACAAGACAGTGAATTTTTCGCAAGGTTATCCAATATTGACAGACATAAAGGTTTGCATGACCTTTAAATATCAGCCAAGGCTTCGGTTAAATTGAATGATGGCACAGCTGGCCTCCACTAAACTCAGCTGCTCTAACATTAAAGAGGTGAATCAAGTAACATGGATACAAAAAAACTCCACTGTCAGCAACAAAGCATAGAGTTATTAGTAAACCTAGAATAACATCAGGTAAGCCAAATGATCCAAAATGGCATAGAAGAACTTAATTTCCAACCACGAGACGTAGAAAATTTAGAGTAACACAAGACCATTCAAATGAGTTAGATGAATTCCAATAAGCGCAAAAGACTCAACTGGTAAATTCTGCTTCTGGTTATTGGATATCACAATGTAAAACGAGTAAGTGTTTTACGAATGTAGTATTTGATTATAAATTCTAACAACATATTTTTGGCTATAGATACAAAAAAACTATAGCTTCTATACATATTAATCGATTGATCAGCACACAATTACTGTGTTGATGCTATCCAAGCTATCGATCATTTAGTCCTATCCACAGCTATCGATATCTCACTTCTGATAAAAGCTTATGTTGTTCTTGCCCATAGCTATCGACTCTACAGTTCTGATTAAAGATTGTGTTGGTCCTATCCACAGCTATCGACTCTACAGTTCTGGTTAAAGATTGTGTTGGTCCTATCCACAGTTATCGATTCCTTGATTCTGGTTAAGAATTGTATCGGTCCTGTCCACACCTATCGACCCTTTAATTCTGGTGAAATATTATATTAGTCCTATCCACATCTATCGCTATCGATATCTCAGTTCTTATAAAAGCCTGTATTGTTCCTGTCCACAACTATTGATCCTTCAGTTCTGATTAAAGATTGTGTCTGAGCTATCCACAAATATCAATCCCTTGATTCTGATTTTTTTTAAAATATTGTATTAGTCCTATCCACAGCTATCGATCCTTCAGTTATGGTTAAATGTTGTATTAGTCCTGTCCACAGTTATTGACCTCTAAGTTCTGGTAAAGGACTGTGTTGGTCCTACCCACAACTATCGATAAAGGATTGCAATGAGCCCATCAATGGCTATCGACCTCTCAGCTCTATTAAACGCTTATTTTGGTTCTATCAATAGCTGTGAAAGAGGATTACAGAAATCTACATTTGAGAAAGTATTGATTCCTAACTGAGTCGTGTAGGTCACATCCACATGTAAAGGCCAGTTAGCTTTAGTAATAGGTGTTTCACGACATCAACTACGAATTTGTTGCCTATAGTAAGAGACTACATTAATTATATCCCCGATATGCGAATTTTTAGTTTCGGGATAGCAAATTGACAATTATAACCACAAAGATAGATCTTTCGTTCTCGTAAAGTTTTGTTTTTATGATATTTATGGCTATAGTTATTACGCTGCAAGATTAAAATACCAACATATAGGTCAGCCTTTGATTTATAAATACCAAAATAGTTTAATGAAAAATAACAATGATTGAATGATAAAACTCCAGCAGTTTCACAAATCTATTAAATATAGCAAACATCTCAATTATAATTTCTTATCATACGTATTAAACACAGATATACACGTATATGTAATTAGCGCTAAACTCCAGTATACATACGTACATGTATAAAGATTATCTATACCTTCTTAGTTTTTCTAATGAATTTTTTTCTGTGAAGCTATTTTGCTTCACATTTTATTTACGCACTCGTCATATATTTTTCGTTTAAATTTAACAACTTTAGTGTTATTAATATACTTTTTACAACTATTACGTATCTATTCTTGTTCGAGCAGAAAGTATTGTTTGTTTGTTTTGAAATTAAGCACAAAGCTACACAAAGGGCTATCTGTGCTCTGCCCACCACGGGTATCGAAACCCGGCTTCTAGCGTTGTAAGTCCGCAGACATACTGCTGTGCTACTGGGGGGCGAGCAGAAAGTAAAAGTATATTAAGAACATTTCCAATTGTGAAAGAATTACGTTTAGTTTACAATGACGTGAATGAGCATAATCCTCGTATTTCAACAAAGTTTAGAAAATCTCTTACAAATCATTTCAGTTACTTCATTTTCTCTTTCCATGAACACGTTTATGAGTGTAATCCCGAGTTTTTCATTATTTGTATCCAGTACACTGATATAGCGTAAGTTTAAACTTGTCTTCAGAAGATCATACCTTCGTAAGGAGAGTACGCGGCACAAGCAAAACAAAAATCCAGTTATAATAAATAGTTAATCGCGTCTTAGGTCTGACGTTAACAATTAAGATTGTTCTTTCCAAATATTACAATTTCCCGCGTTTGCTCACGCTAGCAAACAGACAATAACATATCCATGATAGCCACAAAAACGTTTCAAGAACTGAATTAAGTATATATAAACTATATTTTCTTTACTTCAGTTATTTCGCTTTATACTCTACATTTTGTCATGCTATTTCAGATTTGTTTTTATTATAGAGCATTTAAGATAGCTACTTAGATTTTAGTCACTAATCAAAAATTCTATTATATATATATCCAAATTCTGACAATATTAAATGTTGTGATATATTAATTGTACAAGAAAAATAATAAGGTATCGTTGCTTCAGGTGATAACATTTGAAATCCGTTTTTTGTTAAAATGTAGGATTTTATTCAAGTTGTCTGAGGTATTTGATAAATTGCAAAACAAATTTCATATTACATTTTGAATAACCGTTTAATTTACAGAGCTAAAATGTATATTATATTTTTTTAACATAAAATGGTCTTAAACTGCCGTAATGTTCTTCTTAAGAACAAAACTTGCAGTTGGCTCTGTTCTTTACGCATTAAACACTTTGTTAGCAGTTAGTCGATATATATCAGAAAAATGTAACATTTCTTTTTATATCATTATTCTATAGAGATACCATAGATAGAAAACGTTATCTAATTAAGTTTATTATATAATTCCAATGGACTGAAAACTTTAAAGAAAAAAAATAATTGCGTATGTAGAAAAAAAAAACAATTTCAACCTTGC